TGAAAAAGTATAATTTAAATTAATTTGAAATACGCGTTATTATAAAAAATTTTCTTATATTCACTTTGAGAAGAGAAGAGAAAATTTCTTTAAAAACAAATAAACAAACTACAAATTAAAAAATTGTAAATAACACACGCAAAATCAATCATGCAATTAAAACACTTATTGTTGATTTTCGTCTTTACTATTGTTTTAGCGAGTAAATAATCACCTTAAAAAAAAATTTTCTTTTTTACTAAATGAATTCTTAATAATAATTTGATTCATTATATTGACACAGATGCAGCACCATTTGATCCTAACAATAAGATGGCCTCAGATGTAGATTGCATATCAACAGACTTTGAGAATTGTTACCGTATAACAGGGGCAGTATGATACAGATTTCAGAGGTTTTGACCTTATACCCCCCACCATTGCGTGAGTTTTATTAGTTTTATTATTAGTAGATATGTATAAAACTTATATAATAATTGGGTATTTATCATGAGTAATACTTAGGTATTATTAAAGTATTTTAAATAATAAATCGGTAGAAAATGGGAGTTCTTTTTTGTAGGGTACTGTGCATGGGGGGGGTTACTGTGGCCCGCAAAATACGGTATTTCGTCAAACACTACTGATCTACTGCATTTTGGTAAAGCATTTTAATAAAGAAGCTCGTTATCTATAATTGAAAATTAATTTGTAAAAACTAATACCTATTACCGATCGTGCTCGTCATGATTGTCTTTTCGGCTGTAAAATATATAATGAAATTAAATGAACTAGAAGCATCAAAGCGCCAGATGAAAATGTGTTTACTGAATTGTGACATAAAATATCACATTCGATCAGTATGTGTGTGTGTATTGAATAGTACGAAAAAATTTTTGTGCCATACTCTTTTTATCGGCAACTGTATATATTTCGAACCTGACGCACGCAATGATAAAACAAAAAATAGATAAATAAATAAATAAAAGCGATTACACATATACATGCATGTATTATAATAAATAAATAATAAACAAATATAAATATATAATAAAAGCATTCTCATTAATTTGTTTATTAGAATTATTAAAAAATCAATGAAATCATTTCTATTATAATCTTTTTTTATTCAATTTGAATTGACCGATTCATGATCAATACGGATACAGAGCCACAATATTATGGTAGTAAAATATATAGTATACTAGTATTCATAATTATAAATTCAAATATATATATTATCATTAAAACATTTGATCGATATTTCAAGCAATTTGCTCATCCCATATCAATTTTAATTGAACATGGCGCAACACAGAAAAACATGGCAAAATACGCTTATACACATCCCTTACTTCTCCCTCATTTTCACATTATTAATTTAAAATGACTTTGAAAATTTTAACACGGCGGCGCAATTATGAAAATGAAGTATAATATCAAGAGTGATCCCTGTAGGACTATTTTATTTTTTATCTTGCTAACTCCAGAATTTATACTACAAATCTTAGATACAAGTGAAAATTGGGTAATGGATGAGGTCAAAAATCTGGTGTATGAGATTATCATAGTTAGCAATATTAACAATAAAAAAGAAATTTTTCCAAACTGTAAGAAAACAATGAATTAGTATGGTGCAGAGACTCGCATTAAAATGATCTAGATACGCATATCCCTTCCCTTGAAAGCATGTCATATACATATTTCACTTAATTGCAAAAAAATCACTGCTAATATGTTATATTACATAAAATTTTTGCTTTGGGTGCGTAATGTAAAATTAAATTTGCATATATCTTTTTATTACATTAATTATAGAGAAATAAGATAATTAAAACAAACACTATAAATGACTATATAAAATAAATCCGCATTAATGTTTATTTATTCTTTTTCTTTTTTTTTCTTTTTTCACCACCTTTTTTTGATGCTTCCTTAATTTTCTTGTTGGTTCAAGACTACCTGTTGAATTTGAAATAGGTCAATAGTAAAGTTACCAAGAGTAACTGTTGGGGGAACAATGGGGACATATCCAGCAGCAGCAGGAATCGTCGGCGGGTCCCAGAAAACTGCATTTACTGGGATAATTATTTGAAATGCGGGGATATTAGGAGCATTACAACCAGAGAGGTGAGCATTGTCTGTTGGATGTCCTAATTGGTGAGTACCGAAATCCCACTAAAATATATTGAGGTTATTAAGACGTTTTGATCAAAAATAAAAATTATAAATTAGCATCTTACCGTTAAATATCCAGGTACTCCTTGCTGAAATAACATCGCTGTCATTGATCTGTAGAAACGTCCTTGCAGATCCCGCGTTGTCCTTTTTTCATGAAATTTAATACCAAGTACATATCTTACATAAACTTGATTTAGCCAATTTTGGCATTTATTTCTCAAGTTACCAATACTTTGTGTATTGGCTACTTCACAAATAATTCGAGCATGTGGATTCCCCTAGACGAAAAATATTAATGTTAGAAAATCGTAAATCAAATATCAGGTATTACAAATCTAAAAAAAATACATTTTTATCTCCAGGAGGAGGGCCAGGGTATGGAACAATAGGTTGTTGGACATGATTCCCATTTGGTTTAACCATAACATCCGAAGCTATGAATTGTCCCATTACAGTAGGATTAAAATGGACTAAAAGAGGGATGTAAAATATTTGAGAATCAATTATATATAGATTGAGAACCAAATATACTAGAGGAGTTCTCTTACATCCATCACCGGATACACTTATTGGTTTGTTAAGAATGACTCCGCCATTTGCAATGTTAAAATAGTCTTGGAGCAACTCGACAACAGCATTATGTTCTGGGTCGCTCATATCGATCACATACACGTCACCATTAGTTCTATGTTCGTATTTGTACCCAGAAGATTCTTTACGTTGAAGAAAATTATTGTACTCTTCTGCAGTTATTTTTGAGCCAATCTTACAAGGAAAACTGTCATTCATACAAGTTAATACTGAACAGATATAAAATAACTTGTGTATGATGCCCACTCACCTGCTTTCACTTAGTGGTTCGTCTTTTATTTTTGGATGTGGTTTAAGTAGTTTCTTTAAATTTTTTAGAGTCTCCTTCGCTAACCACACACCAGGAATATAATGTAAACGATGATTTTGACTAGACATTTTGGATACTTCTAAAGGGTAATATTTTTTTCGTAATTATAATGATAAATGTGATCCGATTTCGCATCAATTGCAAAATTTATTTCTAAAAATACAATTTTGCTAGTCGTAATTGTGTCCTTAAAATGTTATTAACTAACTTATTGGGTTACTCCTTGAAATAATAAACTCCTGATTACTGATAAATGGATAATTGTGATCCGATTTCAGAACAATTAATATCAGTATTTATTATTTCGTTAAAAAATTTGTGCTACAAATCAATTTTTTTGATGATGTAATGCCACAAGTACTGTTGTACTGTACAACGCTCGAATTTTTCGTGTAACTGAGTTCCGAAGAAATAAACCTTTCACGCCACGCCGAAATTGCTACATATTTGAAAGGTAAGTGTAGCACAAAATGTCTTCAGAGTCCGGCTATTAATTTACTTAATTTGCTAGGAAACTAATTTTTCAAAAAAAACCATTTAGATATAAATATCGGCCTGTTTTCCTTTATCTGAATAATTTACCGCAGTTGTGGCGCAGTTTCAAGGTTTGAATTCTCTGATGTTCTAAGTTGTTCTAAGTTTTGCGAACGTCGGGTATTATATATATGAAAGAGAGTGGTGATATATTTTCTAAAACCAAAATATAAGAGCAACCAGTACTTTCGTATTGATATAGAACAAGAGAAATGAGGTGTATTCTTTAGCACTATTTATACGAAATCTGTTGAAAGTGAATAAATAATAGTTTCCACTGCGGCACTAGGTGATAAATAATGCTATATTTCTCTTTTATTTGGTCGTAGGAGTTATGTTTACAACAAATGTCCTGGATTTTTAACTACAGAGAAAGAAGCAACTCGCTCGAAAGAAAAAGAATCAGTTGATAAGTTATTTCTTTTGTATGCAGTGGTACAAAAAGTACGAAATAACAGAATTACGTATTTTGTGCTCCTTGTGCTCCAAGTGGAATATTACTTGTGGTGGGACAGATAAAAAATATCATTTACGTAACGTTACTAACGTGATATGTACACTATTTCACCTTTTTTATATTTTTTTTCTCGCAGTTGAGCAGTTTTATGATCAAAGTATTTCTTGTTGCTCTCCAAAGCGAACATATATATTAGCGAACATATATATTGTATTCGATGAATGTAATATATGACAAGAATATTTACTTTGGAGTAATCCTCGTACTATTATTAGAATCTGAACGTACATGGAATCCATATAGATTTGCGAAGTTACTGGAGTATCCCGAGTGGTAAAAATTTCGGAGCTAGACGAGTGCTAGACGGATAGAAAAGTTAACAAATAGGATCAGAGTATTTATTCATAGAATAGTTTTCGATGGAGCTCTGAAATTGCAAACATGAAATGATTTCACTATAATTACAGTAAGTATTGTACTAGCTCATTGGCATGGTGTCTAATATTAAGTGTCATCTGTATTCTGTTTCAGTGAGTCATATTTTATTCTCTTCGGTTTGTGCGGGTTCTCACTTAATCACTTTTAATAACTTGTATGCAAGCGATAACTATGCTTTGTGGCTTAGCTTACACGAAATATAGTATGTATATCAATTACAATTACGTGACTACTTTCTGAACAATTAGTCCTTCATGTGTGTTGATGCGAAGGTATGGTGCTTACGACTTGATGTAACAATTATCAGGGTCCGTACAACTTTCGTTTTACGGATATTCTCCTTTTTCTTCCAAACTCGTTTATCTCACTCCAACTTGTTTTTATTCGTTCAAGCTAAAACGTTTTATGTTCACGCAACAAGTTTTGAGATGCTTGCGTTAGCGAAAAAGATTAAGAAGATACTACCCTATGTAATTTTTACGTAAAGAAGAAGAGTTACATCTCGACGAGATGACTTGAAATTAATTCGCAAGCTAAAGTCAAGTTTTCTCAAGATACACGAATGATTTTGAACTACATGGAGTGGAGTTGGGGCTTGCAACAGTTCCCGTGGCTTTCGCCAACGAATGCAGAGAAAAAAATCTTCATTGTTCTCATACAAAAATAAGACTTAAAAGGGTTTTCAAAATATGCGAAAAGATGTGTGAATAACAGACATACCAGAATCTACACCAAGTAAGACTTTTTTGTATATTATCTTGATCGCAGCATTCTTTTGATACAACATAACTAATACAAGTATTTTGCTTATTTATGAAAAGAAATTCATAACATAGATGATGAGGACGGGGCTTTGTTGCACTGTATTATGACTCAGACTAAGCAATATGGGAAGGGTCTTGAGCGATTCGCTGTGAATATATTTCAGTTATCATCCACTCATATATCCGTATGGTCAAAACTTGTCTGTTATCGGAAAAAGGAATTTCACTAAATCCGTAATTCAAAGTAGCTGATGAAGAAAATATTTGATGCATTGGTTACACAATCAAGCATTTAGGAGTTATTTCCAATGCTGCTTTTGGTAAAGAATATGACTTATAATGTGTCTAAAAAAAGCAACCAGCAGACTCAGTCTGTGGAAATGCCACAATGAGAAGGAATAAAACGAGAAATGATATGTCATAGACGGTAATTATTTTTAACGGATGGATTTTAATATCAACAGCAAAATTACAAATAGTAATTCTGTTATTTCCTGCACCGAACACATAGTGTTAAGTGGTCCCATCAGATAACGCCCAGTGTCATGGCACTAAGCTCCTGGTAGTATAGAACACACCGCTTCCCCCTTATCTTGGGTTTCGATAGAGAAGTAAGTAGTTTTTGCACTACAATAATAATATGTATTTATTTAATTCGATTTGCCCTATGAACGTAGGTTCCTAGAACCCCTCCTCTACGCTTTAGCGCCCTTCAGGTAATTTCAGTCATAGACTGCTCAAAGAGCACTTCCTTCGAAAGGTCCATAAATGGACTGGAATGGGTCGAGGGCCTCCTCGTTCCTCGAAAAATCATAGGGATTTTTTGCGACCATTGATCTACTTCGTACCCTCCGGGTATTAATCATAACGTATAAATGATCGTCATCACAAACCCATTAATGGGTACTTCTCTTCTAGATGGAATCTAGGGCAAGATGCTCAGTTCATAGAGTCGGAGACTGGGGCTATGCCCAAAAATGTAAATACGTGTTTATGGATGATATCGTTGATATTAGTATCTTCCCTTGGCCAGAGATGAAAACTTACTTGGAATAAAGTTCACATTAAAATACGTCTGCGAAAAAATGTAGTCATTCGTTGATCCAAGATATTTGGAAAGATGCATAGGATATGAATCAACGTGATAATAAGGAGGTAAAATACATCTCGCTATCATTATGTGTTTTCATATTATCCAACAATAGATACTGACTGATTTTTTTATGTATTTCGTGATCACAATTAAAGGTGGGTAATGAACAGAAATATGACGTGTAAGCTTGCCCAGTGTCATATGACATCGATCCTTAAGGGTCCTATGTCATGTGTTCATAGATAACTGAAACACGGAAAATGTAATTTATTATGTATATAGCAAGAAGCTCATTTGGCATTTATTTTAATAAACCATAATGGACTAACTATTATGTGAAGAGCAATTTTTCATTACATGCTTATAAAGAGCGTGAATATTTGATTTAACTGTATCGATATTAAAATAGATTGAAGTTTGTTGTGATTGTATTCAATTTTTTATGAAGTGTTACTTTGTAGAAAAAATCGAATCCATGGATACCAGTGCTTCGTGAGAGAATTGTATACAAGTTTTTGCGTTCTTCGACAGAGTGATCGTATTGCGATGTTCATATACCTAAAAGGTACAAAGTAGAACGGGTTTGTTCCTTTAGGTTCTATAACAAGTGCTGTTTTGTTCTACCCTTCCTATGAAGGAATCATGTGATACTCTTTTCTATGGCATAGAATGTAACGTGATCCTATCTAGTAACATGATGTCTGCAGAATATTTATTTGTAAAGCAGCGGCTCATGATCTAGTTATAATATTTGTTTATTCGTTTGTATCCTATATGAAAACATTTACGTGAATTTATTGATTACTTGTGTCGATGATTCATATTCCTTTTGGAGTTAATTATCCCGGTAAAGTAATGTTTGATTATGTAATCACTGGAACAAAATGCGAAACGTTAATTTCAGGATGTAAGTTTTCCAAGAAAGGGTTAGGTAACTTGTTTGGAAGCTTGGCAATTTTTTTCATTAACCGCAGTAATTGACAATGTGTTGGAAATTTATCGTAATTACACAAGAGAAAAAGAACATAAAAAAATGTTTTTATCATGCGAAGTCGATTATGCAATTATATTTTTGGATAAAGATTGAGTGTTAGACTTTGCGTTATGTTCTCTGTTAGTTAGGATAGAAATATACAAATCACGGGATCAATGGCACATGACACTCTGAACATTTGCTAAGGGTATCATATGATCAGTGTTGCCGTTATATCTAAGAAGAGATATTTTACCGGATTATCATAGAGAAAATAATTGTCACAACATTACAGCAAAAATGGAATAATGTTCATTGGAAAATTGGCTGATAATGCAGTTTTTCGATTTATTCTATTGTTGATGGATCATCGTTAATTAAAGAGAAGAGATAATGTATCAACCAAATGCGAATAACTAATAGTAGAAAAAAGAGACTGTGACCCAAGGGTCACAGTTAACATATTCATTACAGTGTAATTACATTTTGTTCAGATTGTCATATGATAACACTGGTACAAATTTTTTTTCGGCTAATGATATCCTGGACTATTATAAAAACCGTAATCGATCAATAACGCAAGAGACAAAAAAAAGTTATTACCTCCCGTTTCTCACAAAAATACCTAGGTATGAACTGGTGCAAAACCCATTTATGCATTAGCTTCTTGACAAGGCGCCTTTGCCAAGAGGCCGACCATAACTTAGAAATACTAAACTGTAAGTGACCGGTGTAACAGTTGTAGGATCGCCAAATTATGGTTTTTCGGGACACACAATGTACAGTATGACTAAAAATGTATGACTAAA